GAATTTTTTTTTTGGACAAATGTATTATGTTTTTTTCCACTGTTAATTTGTTATATATTATTTTTATTATATATTATTTTACTACTTGATTAGTTGGTTTTTATTTTTATTAAAACTTTGTAGTATAATTTAATCCGTTTGGGCTAATTATTTGAACTTTATTATAAATTTATTAATATTTGACAATTTTTAGGAAAAAATGTCGTCTCATCATAAACCGCACCAAACCGCATTATTACGGTTTGGTTTGGTTTGGTTTCAATATTAATATGGTTTGGTTTGGTTTGGAAAATTGACCAAACCGTATTTTGCGGTTTGGTTTGGTTTATACTCAAACCACACCAAACCAGACCATGTTCACCCCTAGTAAATATCTAGAAGACCATATGAGTGTTTTCACTGAAACAACTATTCATTACTGGATTTCATGCTTAGTTATTGCTAACTCACATATTGTATGACTTCGAATGAAGTTTTTTTCTAAGGCGATTGTTGATTTGAATCTACAATGTAATGATTCTAAGATGATTTGTAGGTGTGTTGGAATTTTAGATTTTATAGGCATTGTTTGTAAGTGTCGTTTGACTAACATTTATTAATAAAATCCTTTTTCTTCTGGTAAAAAAAAATAAAAGAAATAAAAAAGTAGAAGTAAAGTGTAATAGACTAAGAGTTTGTAGCTTAATTTAAGTTCAATTTAATTTCTAATTTCCTTATCTCATAAATTGTTCAGTTCAAAAATCAAAAGAGGCCCTAATAGTATCAACGATATTAACCACAAAAAATGAAAAAAAATGATGAAAAAAAGACATTATAACAAATAAAAAGAGAGAAATGGAAATAGACCACGGAATTCATTGATCACAAATTACAAATGGCCACAGGAATCTTGGGACGTAGAAACGCGTTCACACTGTCCATAGACGAGAACTTGCATTTGAAAATGTACTTCATGATAACTACTACATACAGCGAAATTAATTATTTAATTGAAATTTTCAGCAATATACTGTATTCAAATTAAATGATAACAAATTCCCTGGAAAAAAACAGGTGAGTGTTAAATACTGTCCACGCACGGTAACCGGTTTTGGGCTCCGGTTACCACGGTTGCCTAAAAAAAAAAGCACCACCTTCACGCCGATCAGGGAAGGTGGTGGATTGTCATAGAGGGGTGTGTGGCGGATCGTCGGTCAAAAGGGGTTGTGATCGCTGGTTGGAAGGGGTTGTGGGTTGCCGGAAGGATGAAGGGATGGTGAAGTAGTGAGGGTATGATTGTCCATTCACACCAAATGTTGGCGGTGGTGATCATTTTTGTTGGCGGTGTTTAGAATATAAAAAAAATAAAATAAAATGATAACAATAGTTGACCAACTAGGTTACTCAAATTTCATTCTTTATTATTTTTTATTATTTAATTGAAATTTTCAGTAACATTGAATTATTTGTTTATTATTTTGTGTGTTTTTCGTACATATGCCACAAAGTATACTCTTATTAAATTCACTTTAATTTATAATTTAAATTTTTTGACTTTTAATCATATATGATCGAATTATTAATTTTTATGTGTAAACATAGATTTGATATTTAATGTCAAAGACAAGTCTAGAAACTTTTTATTGCAGGGCATGGGTCATTTGACATGCATACATGTTAAAGGATCAACTAAACCAAAAGTTTAAGTTAATGATTGAAGTCCGACAATATATTTTATACTCTATCACGCCCTTCACATGAGATCACTTTGAACTTGAAATGTGGATGCAGCATTGACCCTCCACATACCCTGCGCGAAATATTACACTTAAAAATTGGGGTGGATAAAATGTAAAGGCTACACATACAATTGTTGTATGCAATGGTTGTATGTGTATCAGCTCTCGTGGATAAGATTTGAACTCGTGATATTTGATTCACCCAATGATGAAACCCGAGTTCTCTATATGCTTAATAGTTGACATTTGTCACGTCTTGATTCGTCCAATGACATTGCACACTTGGTATTTGATAGTTGCCATATGGCTCGTTTTGATTTGCCTGGTGACAAAATTGCCCAATATTCTTATGAATGGTACTTCTAGCTCCCAAGCTTTCTTGTATTTTGTTTTCTATTTGTTTTGTTGTCTTTTGCAGTAGAACCCATGAAAAGCTTGCGAGATTCAAAAGTTTGATATGTAGTTTTCTAGGCTTACTAGATTTGATTTTGTATAATGCATAGCCAAGGGCAGGAGTGTTAATAGGGAAAAAAATAAAAATAAAAATAAAAAAGCGCTTATAAACCATCAAACTTAACTTATAAGATTTAGAGATTACTAATCATTTTATCTACAAGAAGTATGTTTTTAAAACCCTAAATCAAATATTTGATACAATTAAAAACCAAAATGGATAAACGTTAGGCAAATAATTGAATTCTCACATGACAAATAAAAGTAGTAATGAAAGTTTTATTATTTTTAAATGTTCGATAATAAAATAGTCGATTTCATATATGTATTGATGTGAGATTAATATAAGTAATATTTATGGAAATTATAATTTGATTTGAACAATCACAATGGCATATGTAATGGGGCTCAAGATGAAAAGGAGTGTTGTAAAAATGGAGTCATCTATCGAATGAGTTGGCACATTTTGGAACAATAATCAAGAAATTTGATGATGAATAACATTTTGATAATTCTTATTCTTAAAAAAGAAATTTATTTTTGTTATTAAAAATAATAAATTCTTCCATTATGAAATTCATAAAAATCGATTATATGTCATTTAATTCAACATAGAAAATGATACAGTAGTATATTTCTTTAAAAAAAAAGGAAATAGTTAAAAAAAATGGTAATAGACTAATGATAGGTAAATATTTTGATAAATTATATTAGTTGTTTTGGGAGTAGCTAGATATTTTGGTAAATAGAAATAGTTGCTTTGGAAGTATGGAAAAATCTGTAAGAAAAAATTTGTATTGGAATCCAAAATAGTTGAAAGCCTTGAAACGTACAAATAACCAATATAATAAAGAGAAAGTCTAAAATGACAAACATAAACATCATTTAGGAAACTAGGAGAGTAGTAAAATATACGGAGTAAATATCTTACTTTTTCTTAATTAAAAAATTCACTTTTTTTTTTTAAATGTTCAATTTGCAGTACACTAATTGAATTATAACATCGTTTCCAATTGCATTCTCACATATGATTAATTTAGAAATACAAAAGCAAATGAACGCCCGTTGAATAAGATAACTAAAAGTAAATATATTACATTGAAATAAACATTAATTACACCGATTATGATTAATTTTAACATACATTCTCAAATTAATATAATTATAGAAAACTTTTTCAATTGTTATATAATGCCCCTAAAGCTCAGCAAGATCAGCATAAATTAAAATAATAAAAAAATAATGCTTCTTTCATTTAATTTTTCTCAAATCATAAAATAGGTTGAAAGGACTAAAAACATGAAGAAAAAAGACAAGTCCATGTCATTACAGGCTGTTATTGGCACTAAGTGGCAAAGTGGTAAAGCATCTTCTGCCATTAGACTCGTCTTCATTCCCATATCAGTTTTTTCCCCACTCTCATTTTATTTACCACGTACCCTTTTACCAACAAAAAAAGTTATCATTATCAAGTACTTATAATAATTTCCAACTTAACCAAATATTTTACTTAGTATATATATGCAATACATTACCATTTTACCTTATCTATATAGTAATATTGACTAAGTTTTTAAATTGGTACATGTATTAGTAATTGGTTTTGTAACTTTTGTTATATAAATGATGTTAGATACTTTTTTTTTTTTTTGACAAAGGGAACTGCTGTTAGATACTTAGGACATGTTCACATTTACTGAACTGAACTGATTGGAGCTGAACTGAACTAAATTGAACTGATTGGAGCTGACCTGAACAGAATAGAGCTGAAATGAATATTATGTAAGAGAAGAAAATTAGGAGTTGAATTGAACTGCAATTGAACTAATTGGAGCTGAACTGAACTGATCTGAATTGAACTGAAATTACACTGAAGTGAACAGACCCTTAGATTAGTGTTAATGAAAATTTGCTAGGGTTTTTTTAATAGCAATAATATTCAAAGTTGTGTTGTGAATTTATTAAATACATGTATTAAGAAATAAGGTTACCTTTCTTTCTAAAATCCAACGAACGCATGTATATTAGGAAGAGGTTTTGCCCTAATAGTCTATCAAATATATAGGCCATGTCATTTTTAACATGTTTTTCACCAAATAAGTTTGTTTCAAATACTTTTGTACAAAATATATATATATATATATATATATATATATATATATAAAAAAAAATTGTACAAAGTTCAAATAAAAGGTTTCTAAAATAGATAGATATAAAGAAAATAAATATACATGTTATACTTAACACAATAGAACATAGCAATTAGGATATTATTTCTTCATTCACCTAGATTCTTTTGAACTCATCTAAATTAAAGTATATGGAGTGTTTGGGGTCCAATTACGCCCAATCGGGCCCAGTCATAAAATAATTAATCCAAGCCAAGGTCAAGGCACAAGCCTCCATTTTGCCAAGTCAATGCAAAGTCAGCGGCCCAAGTCATCATGGTCAGCCCATGTGATGTCCAGCCCGTCCATTCTCCTTGTCATGCTAAGGTATAAAAGCCTTCAATTACATCATTTATCATTCATTCACATTCAAGCCTCGAGCATTAATTCTCTTGCATAGCTTTCTCTCTCTAAACACTATTTGACTTCGGCATCGGAGGGGCCTTCCTCGAAACCACCCCCGAGGCCAGTTTACGTGTGTTTGCTGTGCAGGAAACCCTCGGCCCAGCATCAATTTGGACCGGGCAAGTCTTCATCCACTTCTTCGGACCTTCGGCAAGGTCCCATTGTTTTCATCCGAAACAATTTGGCGTCGTCTGTGGGGAAGACTTTCAAAAATCTTTAAGCCAATCAAAATCATCCTACCAAAATCTTAGTATCAATGGCTAAGAATCGCAAGAACAAGCGAGTAAATCAGGGAGTAGGTGAAAGGCCCACAGACCCTCCTACTCCTACACCATCACCTTCTCCGGAGTGGAACTCTTCTAAGGGTGCCAGCTCGGGAGAAGCATACCGGGAGGATTCCCTTTCTCCCGTAATTCATCAATCTCATCATAGGCCGATTCCCCCTCGGTCTAACAACAAAATCCAGTCCGATCATAGGACTCAATCAGTGCCTCAAAGCAGACCTTTGAGCATCCACTCTCACTCTCATACTCAACCGAGGACCCCTTTAACGGGACCTAGCTCGGAGGAGGTAGCGAGGGCATTGGCGGTGCTCATGGAAGCGGTGAAGGCCCAAAATATGCCACCTCCACGTGACCGAACTCCTCCGCAAACCAGGCATCAGCGGAGGAAGCTCGGCCAGGAGGGGGAGAAACCTTCCTCCTTCAGGGAGTTGGCAGAGTGGGAAAAGGACACTTGGAGGACTGAGAAAGAGAGGAAAAAGAACCCCCACTTCTTCTTCAAGGAATCCTCTACCTCTCGGCCAGAGACTCACAACAGCAGCAGCTCTGCCTCTCGGCCAGACACTGTCCGCTGAAGCGCCCTCGACCAGCTTGGCGGCAGGGTGTGGAGTGTACATAGCCGCCTCTCATTCCCTGTAGCCGAGGCCCGAACATCCCAGCCAGGGACGAAAACCACTCTTACCTCTCTAAGAGGGCAGAGCGCGGTCCCTTCGGCCAGGAACAAGGGCAAGGCCGTGATGCTTCCTACCAGCTCTCCATTCGAACAATGGATTCTGGAAGAACATGTGCTGACGGTCAAAATCCCGTCGCACATTACATATGATGGAACTTCTGATCCGAAGGACCATATTGCCTCTTACGAGGGGCACATGCACCTTTGCCCCAGGTCCGAAGCGACCAGGTGTAAATATTTTCCCACTACTCTCAAGGGGGTCGCGCAAGCGTGGATCTCCAAGGGGGTGAAGGAAGGCTCTATAACGGGGTGGGACGACCTATCCACCAAGTTCAAGAGCAAATTCTCTACAGAAAACCGCCGAGAGAAAACCACTGCAGAGCTCATGGGCTTGCAGCAAGGGGAGACCGAAAGTTCCCGGGATTACCTAACTCGTTTCAACAACGAGTCATCCAGCGTTTCCCAGCTGGACCAAGGGCTGGCTGTCTTTGCAATGCAGAACGACCTTCAGCCAGGAAGGTTCCTTAACTTCATGGTCATGCATCCTCCGCAGACCTTGGAGGAAGCTCTGAACGCTTCGGATAAATTCATCCGAGCTGAAGAGTGGAACAAAACAAAATCCCAACCCCAATTTGGGGGTGGGAAGCAAAAACAATCGTCTAAAGACCAAGGCCAGAAGGCGAAGGGTAAGGCGGAAACCTCGGAATAATCTTCGGCCAACGAGCCGAAGAAGGAAAAATCTGCTCCTTTCACGGGCAGATATGAATCACATACTCCGCTGGCCCTTCCGCGCGCTAAAATTTACAGTGTGACGAAGGAAGAGCAGAGTTACAGGAAAGTGGTATCAGCGCAAAAATAAAAATTAGTGGTGTGAGTTTCATGAATCACCGGGACACAATACTGAAGAGTGTATCCAGCTGAAGGACCAAATCGAGGATATGGTCCGGAAGGGATACTTGAAAAAATACATTGCGGATCACCGCGAGAAAAAAAGAGGCTGAGAAGTCCGAAAAGGACTCTCGGCAAGAACTTGACTTCCCCCGAAAGAACAGCAAAAATGCGGAAGGAAAATTCCCTCCAATTCATGTTATCTCGAGAGGAATATGTTCTCGGAGGGAGCACAAGCGCCACCTCAGGGCTCTGACCCATCAGGTGAACAACGCAAGCATTCAGCCACCCCAATCACCGGTGCCGAACATGACGTTCACATCCGCTGACTATCGGGGGGTGACATACCCTCATGAGGACCCGTTGGTGATCATCGCCACGGTGGCCAACCACGACGTCAGCAAGGTTCGTGTTGATGGTGGCAGCGGAGCAAACATTTTGTTCCGAAAGGCCTACAACCAAATTAAGCTGAAGCCCAAGCACCTCACGCCGGTACCTTACCCGGTATTCGGATTTAATGGGGCCTCAACTTATCCACACGGGAAGGTAACACTTCCTGTCACCATCGGCTGTGACGAAGCAGCCAGGAATGTCATGACTGAATTTTTGGTCATCGACGCTCCTTTAGTGTACAACGTGATCATGGGGAGACCCATAATTCACGAGATTCAAGGGGTAGTCTCGACATACCACCAGCTCATGATCTATGTTTCGGATGGGGCTATCCCGAAAGGATCGAGGGCAGCCAAAAGGAGGCCCGAAGGTGCAACTACCTCAAGCCATCCACCAGTCGTGCAGAAGATGACGACGAGGATGAGGAGGAGAAAATAAGAGAGCCAAGCACGAAGAAGCCGAAAGGCCTAAGTGCTTCGGCTCAAGGAGACCTGGCCAAAGAAAAAGGGCCAGGAAAAGAAAGGGCTAGCTCTTCATCTGAGCCGAAAGACTCAGAGAGCCAGCAGAAAAAGAAAAAGTCTGGAACTCCTGCTGATATAGACAGTAGGCCAGAAAATGAAGAGTTCAGCCCCACAACCATGGAGCCAGACCAGCAAACCGAAACGGTCGAGTTGACCGAGGAAGACGCTGAAAAATATGTTACAATCGGGCTTGATCTTGATCCGAGAGTCCGCGTTGAGCTCATCCAACTCCTTCGGGACAACCGAGATGTGTTTGCTTTCTTGGCAGCTGACATGCCCGGGATAAGTCCAGACCTCATCTCTCATAAGCTTAACGTCGACCCTACTTGTCGGCCAGTTAAGCAAAAGAAGCGGAATTACTCCGCAAATAAGAACCGAGACATCGCAGCCGAAGTCAAAAAGTTGCTAGATGCAGGCTTCATCGAACCCTGTCAGTATCCAGAATGGCTGGCCAATGTGGTGATGGTTCAGAAGGCAAATGGCACCTGGAGAATGTGCGTTGACTTCACGGACCTAAATAAGGCCTGTCCGAAGGATTTCTATCCCTTGCCGAGGATCGATCAGCTAGTCGACTCGACAAGCGGCCATGCCTTGCTTAGTTTCATGGACGCATTTTCTAGGTATCATCAGATCTTCATGCACCCCGACGACCGAGCAAAGACGGCATTTGTCACGAACGCCGGGGTGTACAATTACAAAATGATGCCCTTCGGATTGAAAAATGCGGGGGCAACATATCAAAGGCTGGTGGACCAAGTCTTCGCCGATCAAAAAGGCCAAAACATGGAAGTCTATGTTGACGATTCTATCGTCAAAAGCAAAAAAGATGAAGACCATGTTAAGGACCTGGCGGAAACTTTCGCCACTATAAGAAAGCATCAAATGAAGCTGAATATGAAGAAGTGTGTCTTCGGCGTGAAGTCAGGGAAATTCCTTGGGTTCATGGTCAACAAAAGAGGGATTGATGCCAATCCCGCTAAGGTGCAGGCATCACTCTATCTTCCCGAGCCGAAAACAAAGAGGGATATTCAGCAGCTCACCGAAAGAATGGCAGCCCTCTCGAGGTTCATCTCCAAGGCCTCGGATAAGGGGTTACCTTTCTTCAAAGACTTGAAATTCCCGAAAACAAAAGAGCTCGTTTGGGAGGACGAGCAAAGAGAAGCCTTCAAGTAGCTTCCGGAGCATTTAGCTCAACTTCCGACATTTGCTAGCCTAGTAGAGAGAGAGTCCTTGTACTTATACGTGGTTGTCAGCCCAACCAGCATTAGTGCAATGCTGCTGAGGGAAGAAAATAAAATTCAGCAACCGATTTACTTCGTCAGCCACACTCTGACGGATGCCGAGACTCGCTACCCCTTACTTGAAAAAGTTGCTTATGCAGTGGTGGTAGCTGCTCGGAAGTTAAGACCCTATTTCGATTGCCATCAGATAGTGGTCCTGACTGATCAGCCGCTGGAAAAAGTTCTCGGCAAAGTTGAAAAATCTGGTAGGCTGGCCAAATGGGCTTTTGAGCTCACGGAATTCAGCATCAACTACCAGCCGAGAGCAGCCATAAAGGCTCAAGCTCTAGCGGACTTCCTGGCCGAATGCTCATACCAGGAGACGTTAGAAGATGAAAAGAAAACCTGGACCGTTTTCACAGATGGATCCTCCACCATAAATGGTTCGGGGGCAGGGGTGGCTATAACCTCTCCCGAAGGCAAATCCTTCGAGTATGCACTAAAACTTTCTTTCAAAGCTTCGAATAACGAGGCCGAATATGAGGCAGCAATTGCTGACCTAGAATTGTGCATTTCGTTGGAAGCCGAACATGTTTGTCTAAAGACAGATTCCCAGGTAGTTGCATATCAGATTGGTGGCAATTACGAGGCCAAAGAGCCCTCGATGATAACCTACCTTGCCAAGATCAAGACAATTATTGCAAAGCTGAGAACTTTTGAAGTTAAGATGATCCCAAGGGGTCAGAATGCACAAGCCGATGCGCTCTCTAAACTCGCTAGTTCAACTCTCACTAAGCTGAACCGATCTGTTTATGTGGAGGTGCGCCGGGAGAGAAGTGTCGACGAAGCACCTGAAGTGTGTTGCGTTGACCAAGAACCAAGCTGGATGGATCCCATCCTAGCTTTCAAACTTCGGGGAGAAATTCCCGAAGATAAAATTTTGGCCTCCAAATGGAAGCGAACCAGTGCAAGGTTCATCGTCTTCAAGGGGGAACTTCTGAAGAAATCCTTCTCAGCCCCATTGCTGAAGTGTGTGGGCCCGACAGATGCAGATTACATCCTTTGGGAAATCCACCTCGGCAACTGTGGGAACCACATTGGGGGAAGGACCCTAGCCCACAAAGCATTAAGGGAAGGGTACTACTGGCCAACCATGATCTCAAACGCTAAATAGCTGGTAAGAAAGTGCGAAAAATGTCAAAAATTTGCACCAGTCATCCATCAGCCAGCCGAGGAACTTCAGCCCGTGCTGAGCCCACTTCCATTTGCCTAATGGGGGTTGGATATCCTAGGCCCATTTCTGGATGCCGCATACCAGAAAAAGTGGATGATAGTCAGTGTTGACTATTTCAGCAAATGGGTCGAGGCCGAAGCAGCCTCGAACATCACAGAGCAAACTGTCAGGAAATTTATCTGGCAGAATATCATCACTCGTTTCGGCATCCCGAAAGTATTTGTCTTTGATCATGGAAGGCAATTTGACAATCTACCGCTGAAGAGGTATACAGATCGGTTCGGCATCAAACTGGCATATTCAGCGGTATGCCACCCGCAAAGTAATGGACAGGCCGAAACTGCAAATAAACATATTCTTAATGCCCTCAAGAAGAGGGTGGAGGATCAAATATCCAAGTGGCTAGAGGAGCTCCCAGGAACTCTCTGATCTCTTCGGACAACCGAAAAAGAAACAACGGGTCATTCACCCTTCGAATTGGTGTATGGCGCCGAAGTCGTTCTCCCAGTAGAAATCGGTTCTTAGAGCCTGCGATTGCACCACTTCTCAGCTGAGAATGAGCAAATTATGAAGGAATCCCTCGATTTCCTTGACGAAGTAATAGACTCAGCCCGAGTTAGAATGGCTGCATACAAGCAGAGAATCA